AACCAGGGAGTCATGACCAGCACGTCCACTCTCCTGGGGAGATGAGTCACAGTGTGTGAGAGCAGGGCATGGGGATGTGGGCCACAGAGAAGGATTTGTCCAAAGTTGCACAGTCTGTGAGCCACAGAGCTAGGAGCAGACAGGACTCCAGACTCCCAACCCAGGGCTCTTAGCACCATAAGCTCAGCTCCCGAGACTCAACACTCCCATCCCTTCACTGCCCTAACTTAGAGTATCTCCTGAGTACCAGCCATGTGCTGGATGCCATAGGACTCTCCTTCTATGAGGCCTTCCAACTCTGTTTCCAGGAGGAGAAGAGTCTCAACTGAGGGCAAAGCACTAAGCCCTCTCCCAGCACATGGGTACTTTGCCATAAGAAGAAATATATATTTGCCACTACCTCCCCTCCCCTTACCTGACACAGAGCTAGTAAGACCCTTGGGATTTCCGGGGTCGTAGGAGACGTCTTTTATTCTTATGAGGTGACTCTGGGTGGGCTCATGGGTAGTTCAGGACGGGGGCTGGTCACCAGAGAGACCAAGCCAGGATTAGAAACTTGGAACTTTCAGCCTCGCATCCCATCCTCCAGGGAAGGGAGAGTGGCTGGAGATTGAGTTAATACTCAATCATGCCGGCGTGATGAAGCCTCCATAAAAGTCCCTAAACTGTGGGGTCCGGAGGGCTTCCGGGTTGGTGAGCACATAGAGGTGCTGGGAGGGAGATGCTCCCCGGGAGGGCATGGGAGCCTCACCCCTTCCCCATTCCTGGCCCTATTTACCTCTTCATCTGACTGTCCCTGACCTGCACCCTTTATAACAAGCCAAGAATCTAGTAAGTAAACTGTTTTCTTGAGTTCTGGGAGCATTCCAGCAAATCATCAAACCCAAGGAGCGGGTGGTGAGAAATGATTTAGAGCCCGTAGGTCGGAAGCATGGGTGACAACCTGGCCTTGTGATGGGTGTGTGAAGTAGGGGCCCTGAGGCTGAGCACTCCCGCTGTGGGGGTCTGTGCTAACTGCAGGGAGTGTCAGAACCACTTGGTGGGGAAAATCCACATGCTTGCTGTGAGTAGAGAAATTGCGAGTTCTCTTTCAGGGATGAAGAAGAGTTTCAAGGCCCCGCCCCTCTCAGGGGCCCTGTGTTCTCTACCCCTTCTCCATCTTCCAGCGGCACAGACGCCTCTCACCTCTCCCCCTACTCTTATTTCACAAGTGTTCATTCACTCGTTCATCACACCACCAGGATCCACCAAAAAAGCTCACGCCAACTTGTCCCTCCAGATCCGTGCTGGCCCTCAGAAACATATGTAACTAGAAATGGTCTAGGAGCCACAGAAAAGTAAAAGGAACCAGGTAAAATTACAGGTAATTTGATATAGCAATACTTTCTTTAACGCAATATATCCAAAATATTATCATTTCAATAAGTAACTGGTATTTTTATTGAAGTATAGTTAATTTACAAAGTTGTGTTAGTTTCAAGTGTACAGCAAAGTGATTCAGTTACACATGTATATATTCTTTTTCAGGTTCTTTATTACAAGATATTGAGCAGAGTTCCCTGTGCTATACAGTAGGTCCTTGTTGTTTACCCATTTTATATACAGTAGTGTGTATATGTTAATCCCAAACTCCTAGTACATTTTTCGAGTACTAAGTGTTTGAAGTCCACTGTGCACTTCACACCGACAGCACATCTCATTCTAGAGCAGTCCTGCTTCTAGTGTTCATGGCCACACGTGGCTGGCAGCTCTAGAAACTCAAGGAGGGGTGGGCGTGGGTTTCAGAAATGACAGCTAGCATTTTCAGCTCTCCTGGCAGGGATGTGGCATGACATGACAGAAACCACCCAGCTTGCGTCCCGATCTGCCCCTCATCAGCCGTAGGGCCTCAGGCAACTTCCTTCACTTCTCTGAGCCTCAGCTTCCCTGCTCATAAAATGAGGGCTGATCAAAGTGGTCTCTGGGAGACTTCCTGCCCCGAAGCTCTGGGGTCTAGTGCCTCAGAAAAGGGCTGCCAGCACTCTCTCTCTCTGGCAGTGGAAGCAGGAGGTACAGGCACAGGCTAAGGAGGCTTGGATTTGGGGACAGGCGGTTGCGTGTGGAGGTGAGTTTGGAACCACCGTTCCTCAGATATTTACACCCATGGAAAGACCTCAGGGATAACCCAGCCCAGACCCCTGCCATCCTTCCCCAAGAAGAAACAAAAGAAGGTTCTGTGCCTGGTATGGACCTCCACACAGCTCTTAATGACCAAGAATTAGAGGCATATTCCATCGCTCCTTCAACTTGTACCAAACCCATTAAAAGTTAACCCAGCCTCCCATAGCACGGAAAGAAAGAAAAGGAAAAAGGTGAAAGAAAAGACTGAACCAGGGAGAGGAGTAAGTGAACAGAAAACAAGAGGTACGTGGTGGCAGGGAACCCACTGGCTGCAGCCATGGCAGGAACTCGCCTACTTACGTGGGCTTGAGGAGCTGGGCCTTGGGGTAAACCAACCTGCGGACAAGACGCACATGTGAGAAAATGCATCATAGATACCCGTGGCTGCAAGGGTCTTCCTCCCGGTTCAGTGTGCCATCCCTGCCAGGAGGTGGCACTCAGCCACAGGGACTTCCTTCCTCCCTTCCTTCCTTCACCCAGCTGTGCCTACCCGGCCCTGGGGAGGCCACGCACTTCCCCAGGGATAAACTGATGGGGCTGAGATACGAGGAAAGGAAAGGAGGATCTTCCCTAACTGTTGTATGATACTGCTGAGGTTAGAGACCCACCCATGTCTCTTTCTTCTCTCCTTGTGCAATGTAAGTCCTTCCTGTGTCTAATTCATTACGACTGAGGTCTTCGTGTCCTGCTTTGTTCAGGGGTGGGAAGCCCAGGGCTGGCCCGCACCCACCCCATCCACGCCATCCCCCCTGACAAATCTCACAAATCAGGCTCTGTGGGGTGGGGGTGAGGGGGGGTGAGGGAGGAGTATGGAGGAGGGAGACACATGGTGACTTGCTTGGAACTAGGCACAGAAACAGCCCAAAGATGAGATCTCCGATACCTGGGTACTTCAGGTATCCTGCAGGTGTCCAGGTGACAGTCACCTTCACTGAGGGAGGAAAACAGAGTGCTTAGAGCTGGGGACAGGGTGCTGGGAGAAGCACTGCCGTGCCAGACCGGCCAGGACCCCCCGAGGGCCATCACGCCACAGCCCCTACTAAGGAAAGCTCCCCATGGCTGCAAAGCTTGGGCCGTGTGGCCAGGTGAGAGGACCAGGGGCGGGAAGCAGGGCAAAGAAACCTCGGACACGCTGACCCTGTCTGGGAGTTTGGTGCTCAGCTCTGCCCAAAGGGATTCCACGCCCGATGGTGACAAAGCGGCCTGGGGAGAGCCCCGCTCTGGGGCGAAGGACAGGAGCCGTGGCTGCCCAGGTTGGCCCTGGAATCCCAAAGGAAGCTCTGGCAAGGCCCCCCTCACCCCTGGGAGCCCAGCTCCCACCCTACCTGGACTCCTTTTTCTCCAGCTGCATCTGCTGCAGAACCACTCTGTGTGTAACCTGGCTGCAGAGAGGAAAGGTTCTCAGTCATTCCTTCAAAAGTAGCATCTTGCTAAGAAAGTGCCCCCTCAAGAGGAGAGGGGGCTAACCAGGCAAAGGCTAGGTTCGCATCCACTTCCACCAGCCCCGCCCTCCCTGCCAGCCCCGCCCCTCCCCAGCCGCTACCTCTCCCCCAGTCCCGCCTTCCCGCACCTAATCCTGACCCCCACCACCGAAGAAGCTTGGTGGCGCCTGTCCCGATCCTGAAGACCAAGCAAAGGTTCGCTCCTGGGCGAGGCTCAGGAATGCCAACGTTTGTGGGTGGAAGGAGGTGAAAGTCATTACCTAAATGGCAGACGCCCCTGTTGGCCCTGCAGGTGGTGGACCTCAGGGCTGCTGAGAGAGTAGTCCCGTCAGCTTAGCCCATTCATCCACCCTCTGTCCAGCAAGCATTTGCTGGGCCCCCAAGTGCTGAACAGAGGAGGGAGCTGGACCGGATTTGGTTCTGAGGTCCTGCTCTGCGGGCTCATGACCGGCACTGGTTAGGAGCTCTCACCTTATCTGTTCTCAGCCAGCCAGAGACTGATGATCCCAGAGGAATTAGCTCTGGGAGGAAAATGAGACTTTACCTGTCTGGGTGCTAATGGGGTCAGGGGACACCCCATCACGGGTGGGCCACAGGGAATCAACACCGGTCACTATTCATCCCCAGTCCTCAGCCTGTAAACGTATCCCTTCCAACAACGATGAGGATTCTGTCTCTGTTCTTTTTTAGGGTTTGAGAAAACGTGGTAGAGAGAGGAACTCGGAATCAGCTGGGAACTGAGTGCTTCTTTGCTCATAACGACCTCCAATTCAATACATACTCGTATTTTTATCTCTGTTCTAGGTCTTTCTAGAAGGAACCACCTTGACTCCAAAGACCCGTCCACTACCTTTGAGACTCTCCTCTCTGCCAAGTGGAGATCAGGCTGAAAACATTGCTGGGGGACAAAAAGGAGTGCGGAGCTGAGTCCTCACATGGTAGAGGAGAGCAGACGGGCTGTGTTTTGAGGCTGAGACTTCAACACAGCTTTCGGACTTTTTGTTCTCTGGCTCCTGAGAAAATAGACGTGGGGCCCGAGCAGAGCAGAGCCAGTGGGACATCTCACTCGGGTGGGAGGAGAGAATGGGGTGCACAGGCAGACACCCCAGGCAGTGCTCTGCTGGCCCCACCACCAGACACCCTATTTTAACCCAACCTCCCCATACCTAATAGCTTATAAGTGTTCATGGCCTTCCTCTCTGTGGATCTGGGACCCCTGCCTCAGAATCATCCAAGGAGTTATTTTTAGATGCAATTCCAGACTCCCTGAATCCAGCCCTGAGCAGCTGGGAGGGGTGTGTGTGTGTGTGTGTGTGTGTGTGTGTGTGTGTGTGTGTGTGTAGAAATCTCTGTTTTTAACAGGTTCTCTGAGTGATCTGCATATACTCTAAAGTCGAGAGCCATGCCTCCTTTCTGTTTTACAACAGCCCTGCCGCACAGAGCACTAAAAGCCAAACGCAGAGGGACCAGAGGGGCACTGAGGCTCACACAATCAGCAGCTCCCTAGTTAAGTCAGAGCAGAGAGGGAGCTGCAGCCTTTCCAGCTCCCCCCCTCCCCGAGCTGTGCCTAGCACGGAATAAACACCCAATAAATGGAAGCTCTTTCTAACAAATTTCTTTGCAAAAGCCATCAGTGAAAATGTGTATAGCTCTACAGCTAACAACTAAATAAGTATGCCTCTGTGCTCTGCAGTATTATATAAACATACAGCGCCCATTGCAAAGTTGAGTCTAGGGGCAATTCCACCCTCTTGTGGAGTAAGAACTGAAAAAGTATCGACTAGATTCTTTTAAGGGAATGTCTACAGCTACCAAGTTTGTTTTAAAACATAAACGAGAGTAATAAAATGCAGTAAGAACATGTCATCTGTTCCCAATAAATGTATTTAAAGTATGATGTGAATCCCATATGATGACGTAATTGGCATTTCTAAAGGCTATAAATCACTGCCTTTTGAAGCCCTCCAAACCGCAGTCATGTTTACATTCACCCCCAGGTGAACCTGTCACCTAAAGTTATATTAACACCTGGTGGGAATTCCCTGGCGGTCCGGTGGTTAGGACTCCGCTTTCACTGCTGAGGGTGTGGGTTCTATCCCTGGTCGGGGAACTAAGATCCCGCAAGCCAAAAACAGAAAACAAACAAACAAAAACCACCTGTTAATCACCCCAGAGAAGAGCCAAGTGCTGACTGGGAACCTGCATCTCAGCCCTGCCCCTGTCAAGTGTTGTGACATGAGGCAAGGAGTATCTGCAAGATGGGAATTACAATGTCATTCACGGCTTCTCTGGGATCGTTGTTACAGGGGAAAAAACCTAGCCGGTCTCATTCAGTTAACGTAAGTAAGTTGTAAGTAGGTTAAGTCACGTAAGTCATAAATCCCCACCTGCCATAGGGTCCCAGGGCTGTTACCATCCTCCTTACCTATAGAAGCCCAGAAGTACAGCACAAAGCAGGATCAAGCACAGCCAGACCTTGGCACTCTTTCTCCAGAATTCTGTGGAGAGGAAGCCTAGGTCACTTGGGGCTAGTTTACCTGGTCCCCAAATCACCTTGTTGAGACCAGAATTGGGCACTGGCCAGGAACGGCCTCCTGTCGGCTCCAGCCGGAAGCCCTCTCCCTCTTTTGTGCTCACAGGGAAGGTGGGTGATAACCTCTCCTGGAAGCATAATCCCTTTGAGCCTCGCCCTGCAGCCGCTGGGCACCTGTCTGGGTGCCCCTGCTTGTTGGCAGGCCCCCGGGGGGCCAGGACCACTCGTACGCTCCAAAGGAGCGGCTGAGATGGACTGTGGCCATGAATGGACCAGCAGGATGGGTGATGAGACACAGAAGGGCTGTGAGAGACAAAGCTCGCCGAGGGGATTCCAACCCCCATAAACACCCGAAGCCCTAATGCTGTAGGAGCTCACGCAGAGTTACACGCAGCAAAAACAGTAAGGCCTGGGAGACCACTGCAGGGATGCTACACTTCCAGGGAACATGCACGTTTGAAGGAAGCTGTATCATATGCGTTAGTAAAATCTTAGCTGAAGCCTGTGGGCTTAACAAGCTCCACCCTTGATAAAGAACCCCCCACCCCATAGCCACTGCACCGCTGGGTCTCGGAGGCCCAAGTCTGATGTCCCAGCAGCCAGAATCTTGTTGATCACAAATACGAGGGGCTCCCAAGTGTTGGACTAAGAAAACTATGTACGTCTGGGCGCAGCCCAGACACATTTACCAAAGAATTTCATTTGCTAAGGGCATATACCTCAGTTTCCTCTGACTGGGTATGAAAATGTGAAAACCCAGGGATGTATAAACTCAGGGATGTATCCAAAAACATGTGCTTCTATCTATAATAGCCAAGATACGGAAGCAAACTAAATGTCCATCGACAGACGAATGGATAAAGAAGATGTGGTACATATATACAATGGAATATCACTCAGCCATAAAATAATGAAATAATGCATTTGCACCAACATGGACGGACCTGGAGATTGTCTTACCAAGTGAAGTGAGGCAGACATAAAAAGACAAATATCACATGATATCACTTATATGTGGAACCTTAAAAAAAATTATACAAATGAACAAAAATAGACACACAAACAGACATAGGGGAAAGGAGTGGGAGAGGGATAAATTAGGAGTTTGGGGTTAACGTATACACACTGCTATATATAAAATAGATTACTAACAAGGACTGACTGTATAGCACAGAGAACTATACTCAGTATTATATAATAACCTATGAGGGAAAAGAATCTGAAAAAGAATGTATAGATGTATAACTGAATCACTTTGTTGTATACCTGAAACTAACACAACACTGTAAATCGACTATATGTCAATAAAAAAATAAAAATTAAAAACAAAACAAAACAAAAATGTGCTTATACAAGTTTACAGTGAATTTGGTAACATTGTATCATTTTGTATAAACTCTATGTGTCCTATATTTTAAATGTTTAAGGGAATTTGATATGTCCAATTTGTGTTTGATTTAATAAATGGACAAGATTAAGTGCATAAGAAGTTTTTGTCATACTTGAGAGTCTGTTCTGTCCCATCGTGTGTGTCTGAGAGAGAATTACATCAATTAAGCTTATAGTCATATTTTAAAACAAATTAAGCTGCGTGGAAATAATCCAGATAAAAGCAAATATTTAATGGAGGATTCCATTTCTATATAATTCTAGAAAATGCAAATTAATCTATAGTGCTAGAAAATAGAACAGTGGTTGCCTGAGGATGGAGGTGGGTGGGTAAGCGTGGCAGGGAGGGATTGCAAATGAGCACAGGACTCTTTGGGGGTAATAATAGCTATATTAATTTTTGTGACTGTACCGATGGTTTTGCAGGTGTATACATATCAAAAGTTACTAAATTCTGCACTTTAAATAAATGTGCAGTTTATTGTATGTCCACTTTACCCCTATAAAGCTGCTTTAAAAAAAAAAGAAAGAAAAAGAAATGCATCCAGATTGGAGAGGAAAAAGCTGATCTGTCTTTATCTCCATACTACATGTTCATCTATGTAGCAAATCTGATGGAATCTATAAAAAAGCTACTAGAACTAATAAGTGAGCTGGTGAGTTTAGCAAAACCACAGGATACAAGGTCAATATACAAAAATCAATTGTTATTTTCTATACTAACAACCAACAATCAGAAATGGGAATTAATAAAACAACCCATTCACAATGGTATAAAAAATATGAAATACTTTGTCAGAAAAGTCTGACCAAAAAATGTGCAAAACATGGGCAGGGAAAACTACAAAACATTGCTGAGAGACACTAAGGAAGTCTTTTAAAATGGTGAGAACTACCGTGATCATGGATCAGGAGACTTAATATTGTTAAGACGTCAAACCTCGCCAAATTAACTTATAGATTCAATATATTAATAATTCCAATCAAAATCCCAGCAAGGCTTTTGGAGAAATTGACTAACTGAATTCTAAAATCCGTATGGGAATGCAAAGGACTTATAGCAGTCGAAATAACTTGGAAAAATATAAATAAATTCAAAGGACTACATAATTTTAAGTTCTGTCCTATTGGAAAGTTAGCATAATCAAGACCAGGTGAACTTCATTAAGATAAACCAATCAATGGAGCAGAATAGAGCCCAAGGGCTTCCCTGGTGGCGCAGTTGTTGAGAGTCCGCCTGCCGATGCAGGGGACACAGGTTCGAGCCCTGGCCCGGGAAGATCCCACATGCTGCGGAGCAGGTAAGCCTGTGTGCCACAACTACTGAGCCCACGTGCTACAACTACTGAAGCCCCCACGCCTAGAGCCCGCGCTCCGCAACAAGAGACGCCACCACAATGAGAAGCTCGAGCACCGCAACGAAGAGTAGCCCCCGCTCGCCGCAGCTAGAGAAAGCCCGCGCAGCAATGAAATTCAATCTCACGATAGGAAGAGCAGTGCAAATAAGGGTTGTACAAGTCTCCAGTTTTCACCCATTGGGTGAGCAACGGGGTGTTGGCTGTGCCATGGCAATAAGGCACCTGCAGGAGCAGGTAAACAGGAAGAAATAGCTGTGGTCAGGGCAGGGGTGCAGCAGAGGGTGACATCTGTACACTGCTCATATTCTTGTGACATCTCCACCTCCAGCTCCCCTCCCGGTTCTCACGAGCTTCCCTTTCCAGATAATCTTGTAAAGGAAAGTCCTCTACACCTGAGCCTTCCAAACCTTCTTCCGTCCTTTACACTCACTAGCCAGCCTTTCACCCTGACTGCCTCACTGAAGCTTCCCTCGACAAAGGCTCCAGTGATCTCGGCAGCCTCAATCCAGTGTTCCCTTCCTTGTCTGAATTAACCCGTCAGCCACAGTGGAACTCTGCTCTCTTTGGTCTATTTCCCAGGCCACAGCTGCCCAGCTGGCCTTTGCTCTTTCTCTTCCTGTAGCACAAATGTTGGAGACTCCAGGCGCAGTCCTGGGCTCCCTTCTGTACCCACACTCACCACCCAGGGGTTCCTACCTTGTACCAGAGCATTAAATATCATATTTACACTGCTGACCATCCAGTCATTTCTGCAGCCTTCACCTCTCTGTGGACATGTGGACTAGGAAACTGGACCATTCACGGCCATCCCCACTGAAGGCACATCAACATTATCATGGCCAAACAGGACTGTAGGTCCCCATCACCACACCACCAAGGGGGGCACTCCTCCTGTCTCATGATAGGGCATCACCATGCATCAAAAGCTCTGAGGCTGGGAATTCCCTGGTGGTCCAGTGGTTAGGAATCTGCCTGCCAATGCAGGGGACATGGGCTGGAGCCCTGGTCTGGAAAGATCCCACACGCTGCGGAGCAACTAAGCCCGTGCACCACAACTACTGAGCCCATGCGCCACAACTACTCTAGAGCACTCGAGCCACAACTACTCTAGAGCACTCGAGCCACAACTACTGAGCCCATGCGCCACAACTACTGAAGCCCACAGGCCTAGACCCTCTGCTCTGCAACAAGAGAAGCCACCCAATGAGAAGCCCAAAGAGTAGCCCCTGCTCTCCGCAACTAGAGAAAAGCCCGCACACAGCAACAAAGACTAACGCAGCCAAAAATAAATGAATAAATAGCTAGCTAGCTAGCTAGATAAAGGAGTCAGCCTTAAAAAGGCTTGTCCTGAGCTGCAACACGGATGGACTTCAAGGACATTATGCCAGGTGAAGTAAGCCAGTCACAAAAGGGCAAATCCTGTAGAATTCCGCTTGTCTGAGGGACCTAGAATAGTCAAATCCTCAGGGAAAGAAAGTAGATGGTGGGGAGTCAGGGGCTGGAGTGGCGGGGGAGGGGAGTTCAGGTTTCCATTTGGGGAGATGAAAGAGTTCTGGAGATGGATGGTGGTGATGGTTGCACAGTGTACTTTTAATGCCACTGAAATGTACACTTAAAAATGGCTTAAATGATAAGTTTCTTGTTATATATTTTACCACAATAATTCTTAAAAAAAAAAAAAAGTGGGCAGACAAATGGGTTGGGCTTGCACGCTCACCTGCCGCCCCTGACGGGGTCCAGCGGCCTGAGCTAGCTGATGGAAGAATGGGCAGAAGTCGGCCCCTGTCCAGCAAAGCCGATTCCTGACCTCGGGGACCCCCTTTGTCTGCATATCAGCATGCTGGACGGCTGGTGTTCGTAGCCCGCCTTCCCCGATCTACCCTGCCGCGTGCTGAGAGCTGGGCTATCATGGGCCAGCTCTACCATTTCTCTGCTTGTAAGTTTCCCCCAACATCCTGCGTGGTGTCCGCCTTGCCCAGTGGCACCGGGGACGCGTGTCCTGACACTTCTCCTGCCCCCTCTCTAGACGGTGTCTGGTACAGAGTAGAAGCTCAATGCACAGATGTGAATGGAATCTTCTCAGCCCACACCTTGTGCAGCACAGCTGCTCAGTAGTTCAGGGCTGGGGACTGGTCTGGGTTCTGGCACTTCCCAGCTGACTTTCTGAGCCCCCCACTCCTCACTCATCTCTGAAACAGAGCGGGCTGGCCCAGGTGAACCTGAAGTTCACAGTTTCTGTTGCAGAGTGCGAGGAGCTCTCCTCTGCTCCCGGACAAATGCAGGGCGTGTGGCTCTGGCCCAGGAAGTGAGCCCAGGAAGGGAGGGAGCAGCGAGGTGTGCTGGATGGACCAGACAGAGGAGGGGGAGGTAGGATGCTGGACGAGACCGTGGAAAACACCTGCTGTCCGAGGATCCAGAGAGACTGGAAACTGGACCGCCAGGCCCCAGGGGTGGTCTGGGTGACACCCGGGCAGGATGTCGAAAATGGTGCCAGGGAGGGCCATGGGATCTGGCTGGCTCTGGGCACTGGTAGCCCTTCCTACCACCCACCACCCTCACAAGGGCCTCTCTGCTTTGGTCATGAAGAGTACACTCTGAGAACACACGGCTTTAGGGAACGAGTACAAACATGAACCAGGAATACTGGTGCATGCCAGTCTGCTTGGGAACACGATTTCTTCCGGGAGCCCTGCCCAAGGCCCAGCCCCACCCAGGTCAGTCTGGCCGCTTCCCATCAGTGAAAGAGAATTTTTGCGTTAAATGTCACAAAAAGAGGTGGCCGTGTCCTCTGGTCTTCTCCTCCAGGGAGATGTGCACTCCTCCACGCACCCAGGGGCTCCCATTAGCAGGCGGGGGCCTGGGTCCTGCCCGGGCTGAGCCCTGACGCCCTGAAGGACGGCAGAAGTCCCATCCCTCTCCGCTGCCTCCTCGCAGGTGCTGGCACGCGCCCCCCCACCCCAGCTGGTCCCTGTCCTTGGAGCCAGGAAGGAACAGAAGGAGTGAGGAACCGTGTCGGCGTTTGTGGCCTCCCGGGATCCTCCCAGCTTCTCACCAGGGCCACCTCCTCCTGCTTGGGGTGCTGGGCGGATGAGGCACAGGAGCCTTCCTAGGTGTCTGGAAAGCCCAGAGCCCCCCGGTCCCTCCCCTCCCCTTCTCCACTAGTCCAGTAAAGAGAGACTCCGGGGGCCGGTCGGGGGCTGGGTGGGTTCTAACAAGTAAGACCTGAGTGGTTGCCAGGCAGAGCCTCCAGCCTTCAACCCCGGAGGCACAGACCACCCTCTGGGGAGCTTAGTGCTGCTCTGCCCCTTCCTCGTCCTCCCTCTCTCGTCCCCTCCCCTCTGCCTTTCGACCCGCAGCCTCACAAGGTGACGCTGGGGCAGATCAGGGCTGGGTTCATGACGTCCAGGACCCAGCCTGGACGTATGGAGGCTCTTCTCCCCTTGGCCCTTTCCTCCTTCCCTCCCTGCCTCTCTCTCCATCAACACCTCCACCTCCCCACAACCCCTGCCAGGCGTCCTGGGTTCCTACCTCCCACACAGGCACTGGCTGTGTCCAAGCTCCTGGGAGGGACTTGGACCAGGCAGTCTTTACAGCAGGAGGAAATCCTTCACTGACTGCCTTCTCTCTTCTCTGGGGCCCAGACAAGTAGAGGAAAGAGAAGGCCGGGGAGAGGGGGCAGGCAGAGGTGCTCCTACCTGCAGGAGAGCCGGGCAGGAGCTTGGCATGTCAAATCAGGACAGCTCCACCGAGGGTCTGCCTTCCACCCTCCTCCACCCTGGCCACGTCCCATCTGTCCTACTTCCCTGGAAGCCAGCAGCGTCCCTACCCAAGACCACCCCCAACACATGCAAGCGCAGCTCCCCAGACCTTCTCTGCTCCTGCTGTCCTCGCCAAGGCTGGTTCTGGACCTCTGGCTCTAGTGCAGCTGGGAAAGCTGGGCCAGACGGTCAGATGCCTAGAGCGGGGCCCACAGCTCCATCCCTGGAGCCCTTGGCCCTCCCCACTCACCTCTGGGGTCCATGGCTCCTGGGACCGACCGCAGGCCAGAAGCCTGGAGGCAGATATGGGGGATGGCAGGCAGAGGTCAGCCTGCCAGAAGCTACACACAGCTCAGAGCTCAGGCTCAGAGCCAGGTTAACTGGAGAAGTAAAGTCCAGTTCCTTCCCCAGGGCCAACCCCACCTGCCCATTCTTTCGGGGAGGAGTCAGGGGTCAGGGAGGAGCCTCAGCAGATTTCCTGTTTGTCCAAATCTACCCAGCGCTGCCAGCCAGGTGAGTTCCACTACAAAAGCCAGACTTGTCGGCTGGATGCCCAAAGTCACCTGCCCCCCAACAGCCCCGGGGGCAGCATCTCGCCCCCGCCTCAGATCACAGAGAGGCCCAGTTGGTGGCTTCCCTTGCTCTCAGGGCCAAGCCCTGCCCCTTGCTCTGGTCCTCAAGTCCAGAGGTGTGTGTGTGTGTGTGTGTGTGTGTGCGGGGATTTGACCCCTGCTCACCTCTCCAGCTAAGCTCGTCCTCGCTCCACACCCCACCTCTCCTTGGCCATCTCTCCATCCTGGGGACTGCTTTTCTCACAACACCTGGCATATCACCTGCCCAACGGCCAAATAGCCCAGAGACCCTGGACACTCTCTGGGTCTCATCATTTTCTCTGGAGGAACGTTCCTGGTCCCGGAGAATTCCAACACACAGGGATAAAGAGGAGTGTCAATGAAATTCTCAGTAGAGGCTCTGCTCCTGGGAGGTTGTCACCTGTGTCTTTAGGGGAGGCCCATCTGGGATGTGGGAACATCAGGCCCGTGGACCCCATCCGAGAATTCAACATGGCACAGCTCAGGGGGAGGAGGCAGCCCTCTCTCTGCCCCTCTCCCCCCAGCCCATGCTTCCTGTGCAGGTTCGCCACGGGCAGAGGGACAGGGATGAGGGGACCAGGCTGGACGAGGAGAAGCCAGAGGCTCCGACCAGTGGCTCACGCCATCATCCTGCAACCTGGATGCTCTCTTCTCCTCTCCAACCGACATCCCTGGGTGCCAGCCACTGGGGATGGAAGAAGGGGTCCTACCACGAAGCATCCCAAGGGCATGTCCTAGCCTGTGCCAAACTGGGAGCGGGGGAGCAGAGCTGGGTCCACAGAGGCCCCTTGTCAGGGTCATATGGCAGCAGGAGAAGATGAATGAACTGTTACTCAGCCATAAAAAAAAACCAAAATAATGCCATTTGCAGCAACATGGATGGACCTAGAGATGGTCATACTAAGTGAAGTAAGTCAGGCAGAGAAAGACAAACATCATATGATCTGGCTTGTATGTGGAATCTAAAAAAATGATACAGGGGCTTCCCTGGTGGCACAGTGGTTGAGAGTTCACCTGCCGATGCAGGGGACGCAGGTTCGTGCCCCGGTCCGGGAGGATCCCACATGCCGCGGAGCGGCTGGGCCCGTGAGCCATGGCCGCTGAGCCTGCGCTCCGCAACGGGAGAGGCCACAGCAGTGAGAGGCCCCCGTACTGCAAAAAAAAAAAAAAAAAGAGTCCAGCGTCCAGAATATATAAAGAAGTCCCAGAACTCAACAAACAACACCCAATTTCAAAATGGACATTTCTTCAAAAAAATATATACACACATAGCCAATAAGCACATGAAAATACGTTCAACCCCACTAGCCATCGAGGATATACATACACATCAAAGCCACAGTGAGACAACACTTCACACCCACTGAAATTGCTATAATCCAAAAAATGAAAAATAACCAGTGTTGTGAGTATGTGGAAAAACTGGAACCCTCATACTTTGTTGGTGGGAATGTAAAATGGTGCATTTGCTGTGGAAAACAGTGTGACAGTTCCCCAAAAATGTAAACATGGAATTACCATATGACCCAGCAATTCCACTCCTAGGTATAGACCCAAAGGAATTGAAAACAGATACAAAAACAAGTACACGTACACAGCAGCACTATTCACAATAACCAAAAGGTAGAAATAGCCCCAGTGTCCACCAACAGATGAGTGGATGAACACAATGTGGCCTATCCATACAACAGAGTGTTACTCAGCCATAAAAACGAATGAAGTACTGATACATGCCGCATCGCAGATGAATCTCAAAAACAATGTGATCAGTGAAAGAAATGAGACACGAAGGCCACTGTGACATAATTCCACTTATATGAAGTATCCAGAACGGGGAAATCTGTAGAGATGAACACAGATCGTGGTTGCGGCGGCGCTGGGATGGGGTGGGGTGAGGGGGCAGGAGGGGGAGGAGGGGATGGGTAGTAACTGCTTACTGGGTACCGCACCTTTCTAGGGGGAGATGAAAATGTTCTGAAGCAAAATTCAGATGATGGCTGAATTGGATGCTTTAAAATGATTGATTTTGCGTTACGTGAATTTCCTCTTAATATGTTTTAAAAATCAGCTGTGTTGTATTTTCTACCACTGGCTCAGGATGAACAAGTAAAGGATATTTTCTTGTCGAGCAACCATGTCTCCCAGTTCCTGAGATTGGGTTCTTCTTGCCAGGGGAAGCTTGGGCTTTGATGGGTCTGGGGATGAGACAGAGGGAGGGTCTCCAGCGCACGCCAAGCCTGGGGTGGCCGGCCATCTGCTGGGGGCACCTGCATGAGTACATGTGGGGCTGGACACTGAGATCGAGGCCTGGGGAACAGAGCGGGGACCCCCGGAGGCCCGGCCCGAGGTCAGGGACAAGGACCACCAGGCGGCACTATGTGGCTGAAGGAACAATGGCCACCATGTGACCAGGAGAGGAAAGAATGGAGCACACTCATGGTAACGCCTCAAACTGGCCCCTAGGTTCCAGATGCTAGGCACACAGGTGGGGCAGAGCCTGATCCAACGTTCATTAAGGAAGAATATATATGACGTTGTCCAAGCCCAGCTGGCAAGGAGCCCATCCAGCTAGGTTACGACCATGTTACAGCTCTAGTTCTTTCCTCAAACTTTCTTCCACCACTGCCTTACCAAAGGGGAAAAGAGGGTACCCCTCCGGTCTTCCCTGCCTCTGCCCCCGGCCTGCAGGGCCCCTGCCCCAGCGGCTCTGTGTCTGTGCTCCCCGATGTCCGGACCATACCCTTGCCCGGTGCTGTTACAGTCAGTCCAGTCTTCCCCAGCCCATGTCCCGCCCACCCTTATCTCCTGATTTATCAGACATTTGCCATTGTGACAGAGGACTTTGGGCCCTGGCTAACACTTGATCCCAGACACGCAGGACCATTCCCTCCTCGGCTGAGTAACAAGCGTTCGCCCCTCCCCGCCCCCCTCAGCCAGCCAGCACCTGCGCCGCCAGGTCACTTTAGGAGGGAGAGCCCTTTGAACACACATGGTCCTCAGACAGAGTCCCCCGGCAAGACCCTCCCACCCCGCCGACCTTCCCTCCCCTGCGGCTGCGAGGCCCACCAAAGCAAACTCCCTGTGGCCCCCAGAACGCCTTCATCTCTCTCCCACCACCGCATCTGCCTCCATGCCCCTCACCTCCAGCTGGTTTTCCAGGCACCACTCCCCTGGGGGTCTTCCTGCCACCCCTGGCCTGCGTGCACTGGGCACTGCCCCACGGAAGCCCGGACCACACCGCTCAACGGTGCTTCGCGTCCCCTATAGAATACGAGGCCCGCGGGCGGGGATGAGGTATTCTGCCATCGTGTCCCCAACAAAACCTGTTGCATAAAGGTTCGTTTACTCAGTGGCTCTGGCTGGGGGCCTGTGCGTGGCAGGCCCCGTTGGAGGCATTGGGGAGACCCGGTGAAGAACGGAGGACAAGGTCCCCCTCCTGCCCTCTGTCCCCAGCACTGCAGCCGCCATCCAGCTCGGTGTCCTTGATCCCCTCCCCTCCCCACCATTAGCTGGCTGCCCCTCCCCAGATGTCCACATTCTCTGTCCCCACCCTGAGAAACACCCAGCCGGACAGGTCACGTGGCTTCAGCACCAGCGCTGGCGTCCATCCTCAAGGGAGCCTCAAGGCCTGGTCACAGCCCCGCCCCTGTCCCGGCTCTTCCTCCCCCAGTTCCGTCATCTGTGTCACTCCTTTGGCGCCCAGGATGAGTCCCTTTCCTGGTGCACCCCGGGCTCTCCTCGACTCCCCGCCGTGCCCGCTCCACAAGCCGCCTGGAGCCTCCCCTCCCGCCGGTGACTCCAGGCCTCCTCTCCTGCTGCCCTCCCTCTTGCCTGCGTGGCCAAGCTCCCGGACAGCCCGTATGCCTGCAGTCCCCCCCTGCACCCAGTTATCTGTTTGATTTTTTTTAAATAAGGGAAGTGCTTGTAGCAGGTTCACAATGTTAATAAGAAGGAATCGATTCTGCTCCAAGCCTTCTTGATCCCCAAGTCCCACCCCTAGAGACCACTTCCATGTTGTTCCTGATTTTTCTAGAACTTGCATCCATATTTTAATAACTTGCACCTATATTGTTCTTTATGCATCTATTTATGGGTGTTTTTTCTTTCTTCCAGTTTTTCAGAGATATAATTGACATACAGCACTGTACACGTTTAAGGTGTACAGCATAATGATTTGACTTACATACATCATGAAGTAATTATCACAATGAGTCTGGTGAACAGCTGTCATCTCATAGAGACACAAAATTAAAGAAGTAGAAAAAATATTTTCCTTGTGATGAGAACTGTTAGGATTTACTCTTAACTTTTCAGATATAACATACAGCTGTGTTAATTATATTTATCGTGTTGTACATTACATCCCTAGTATTTATTTATCTTATAACTGGAAGTTTGTACCTTTTGACCACCTTCATCCAGTTCTCCCTTGCCCCACCCCCTGCCTCTGGTAACCTCAAATCTGATCTCTTTTTCTATGAGCTTGTTTGTTTTTGAAGTATAATTGACCTCCAACACTGTTAGCTCCTGTTAAGCAACATAGTGATTTGGTATTTCTATATATTTCAAAATGATCACCACAATAAGTTTAGTTACAGTGCGTCACCATACAAAGACATTCCATAGCTATTTACTACATTCCTCCCATATCTATACATACATATACGATT